AGATCCTTCCCAAAACACAAAGTCTATAGCACCTCATGCCCATTAAAGTGACTATTTTAAAAAACACAGAGAAAATAACAAGTGATAGGAAAGATGTGGAGAAACTGGAACCCCTGTGCACTGTTGATGGACATGTAAAACTGTTGCATTCATGGTGGAAACCAGTGTGATATTTACCTCCAAAATTAATCATGAAATTACCACATGGTCTAGCAAGTCTACTTCTGGGAATACCCAAAAAGAACTGAAAAAAAGAAGTAGAAGGGATATATGTGCATTCATGACCACAGCACCATTATTTACTCACAACAGCCAAAAAGATTGACACATTGTGGTGGATGAATGGCTAAACTGTGTGTGTGTGTGTGTGTGTGTGTGTGTGCAATGTATACATTTTAGGAAGAGCAAAGAAATGCCCCTGGGTGCCATGGCAGCTAGGCTGGGGGTAGGGACAGGATGGTTACGGAAGACTTCCTGGAAAAAGTGATCTTGGAGGCTTCTTCTTTAGGTAGTAGACCTGGGGACCAGGCTGGACTGATCAGCTGGTGACTGCCAATGTCCACCAAGACTTTGTAATCCCCTCCTTTACAGAATGAGTGTCAAGAGATTACACAGCTCACTTACACCCATGCCACCTGGCCCATGTGAAGCAGCAACCCTATATACTTGAAGCATCCAGAGCTAAGGTGACATCCAGAGAGAACAGAGCCTGGTGTGGTGTGAGCACATGCAAGTCCACTTCCCTCATCTAGCCTCCAGTTCAATGAACCAAGACCTTGAGCATTCACAGGTTTTCATTTTATCTGAGTGCCTGTGTGAGTCAGGTTCTATAACCCTGCAGATAGCTCTGACCTTATAAAGTACAAAGCCAAATCCTCGGGCTTTTGATATTTGCAATGGCCAGAATTATATCTGGAAGGAATGAAAGAACAATAACAAATTATTTTCCAGTCTGTATATTATGAATTTCAATGTTTTCCTGTTTCTTCACATGAAGTTTCCTTTTGGATGGTTATAAAATCCTGTCTCGTTTATGTTGGAGACAGAACAGGCTGAGTGTATGCAGTGGACTTCAAGAGCTGGTGGAAAGGGTGTGCTAAGCCCACCTCTCCCCCTTCTCCTTCTCCCCCTTTCCTCTTGGCCACAGGCAGCCCCAGGATGGTCCAGCCCCAAGCCCAGCCTCCTGGAAGCACCACAGCCTTGTCCTGGGGGCCAAATAAGCTCCAGGCTACCGGGGAGGGTTTCCAAAATGAAATAATACTCAGGCACTGTGGGTCCCACAGCATCACAAATAGCTGCACCTTGTCAGGAAAACCCTGAAAAATGCCAAAAATGAACTATCATTAGGACTGGGGATGGAAGGGAGTCCATGCTCCGAATTGGTCCCTGGAACTTTCTAAATCAGGTGGGTTCACCCATTTTGTGCACATCCTAAAATATGAGAAAAGCTGGGGAGATTGAGCAAATATCTGGCCTGTCATTCACATGTGGGTCCCCGACCTAGGACAACATTATTGCTTAGTTCTCAGCATGAGTGCACACACACACACACACACACACACACACACACACACACACGGTTAATTTGTGTAAAGCAGCTTTGTGTTCCAAACTTTTGCAAGATAAAGGCTGCACAGATGTCATGTAGATAAAGTTCTGCAAGGTTTAAGGATTACCTGAATGGAATTGCAATTTCTGCAAAGAAGAGCAATACATTTGCTTACATGTATCTCTGTCTGCAGTCCCCGCTTTTCATTGGCTTGAAACTTCTGGGTCGCATACCCTTTGTGAGTCTCACACAGACATAGAGCAAATTCGGCCCACGAGTTCAGCAAGTCTGTTTGCTTGTCCAGCAGCCGTTGCAGCAAGCAATTGCTAATCCATCTCCCAAATTTAAAAAATATATTAAAAAAAACCTGTGTACAAAGTTTATGTCCTTTCCAAAAGAGGAATAAAGCACTGAGATGTTTTGCAGATCTCTCTCTCTCTCTGATGCTGACTTCTGAAGCTGTTAGAAAATCCCCACTCTCAAAAGAAACTTCAAGATGGAAATTACAGAGACGCAGCTTTTTATAATTAACAATGTCATTGCATCACTAGCAATGCCTTTCCCAATACCCTGACACCGCCTGAATCGCAGCCATAGACATTTTCCACCCACCAGGGTTTTCCGAGAAGAACCTACCTTCTTAGTCCTGGCATGTCCAAGATGCGCGGGGAGAAGAGGCAGCGGGGAAGGAAGGAGCTGGCGGCCGGATGCTCAGACGAGCTCCGCGGGCCGGCGGGGCTCCCGGGGACCCTGTTCCAGGCGGAGATCAGAGGCAGGGCTGAGGAGAGCCGGGTGCTTCCAGCCGCTGCACAGCCCTCGCGGAAGCACCTGGTTTCGCTTAGCCCTCTTCAGTAATTCAGCATTAAACCAATTGGAGGAGGAATGTTAAAAATGAACACTTCATTTTCTAAGTATGTTAAACAATGCAAATGGGGCCTCAGTCTGGACACAGCTGGTTCAGATTACAGAGCTCACCAACTGGCTAGACTCCTCACAACAATCTTGGGGCGTCTGCCAGAGCCAAGTGCTCTGAGCTGGGAGGGGAGCCCGGTCCTGACGCCCTCGGCAGCAAGAACGTTGGCTGCAGGCTCTGGGCAGGCAAGTGCAGGGTGGGCAGGTTTGGGGGCACGGACTGCAGGCTTCCCGGGGGTGAAGGGGCCGGGTGGGGCGCGTGCACTCTCTGGCTTGGCCCCTGGGCGCGAGGAGGGGCAGATGACAGCCCTGTGACTAGAGGAATTTGAACTCATGACGGGTACACATGCAGGAGGCAGAAAAGTAGGATTGACAGGGAAACCAGAACCCACTGAGCAGAGGCTTTGGCGAGTGATAGGGGACTTCCGATTTCCCAGAGGCAGGGACGGGGAGCAGAAGAGGAGAGGAGGATGGAATCTTGATGTTACCACCAGGCTTCCCATCCTAATGTGGATGTCCTTTCTCTGCACTGGTCCCCTCATTTTCCCTGGCATTCCTTGCTTTCATTAAAAGTATCCCTTGGCTTGAAAGTGATTTTGACAAGTAGGAGACTTAGGTGAAAAAGATAAAAGGAAAAAGCAGAATATGAAGGATAACACAGGAGCCCTGGGCTAAGTCCTTTACATTGATGATACTGGTGATTCCAAAGTGTTTCTTTTTCGTAAGCATTGAGACCCCTTTATCAAATGAAATCGTACCAAAGGAACTATCCTACAAAAGACTAAATGAGTTGGCTGTAGTCCAAGGCCTCCTTTCTTCCTTCACCTTCTCCTGGCTCCCTCAAAATCCCTACCTAAAGCTCAAAAATGGTGTAGAGGAGCTGCTCTCTCCTCCCCGCAACTCCCTGTAGTAGGAACTACCTTCAATGCCGTAAAAGTGGAGGTAAGAGAGGTCAGGCAACTTCCCCATGCCCACATTGCTATTCACTGATGCCGCTGAGCTTCTAGGTCTGCATATTGAACACAGCCTTCTCAAAGGACATTTTTTGGGGGGAGTAAGTAAATAGAATCCCATTCTACAAATACATTAGGCTGAACAAGAGCAGAATGTTGACAGTTGTTGAGTGTTCGCTTTGCTATTCTATTTACTTTTCATGTGTTTGAACTTTCTAATAATAAAACAAAATTTAAAATACATTTATTTATAAGGTTGTTCATCTTTCCCATTGCTTGTAGTAGTAAAAGATTATACACTTAGGGTCCATCAATAAGGCACAGCAGATTTAAATTCCAAAATGGACAACAAATAAAGTGCAGCCATTTTTTTTAAAGGTAGACCCCAGAAGGCACATTTTGGTTGATTCTATTTATATAGAATTTGAATTCAAGTAGTCACTGGGAGAGGGCACATAGGGCTTTCTAGATACCACTAATATTCTACTTGTCAATCTAGGTGCTGCTTACAGATCATGTGTAGATCTGGGATTCCTGAAGTCTTGCTGTGTGACCATGAGGAAAAGACTGAGGAGATTCTTTATGCAAATATAGAAGGATTATTATTTTGTAGGTCAAAGTGCTATATTGGTTATTTCACATAAAGAAATCTAATATAACAGTGTAAAAATATAAATATATAGGTGAAAGCTATAAGTGTAAAAAGTAAGATATAGAACTGTGCATAAAGCATACCACCATTTGCAGTTTGAAAGCGTAGATAAGCAAATTATTGTTTGTGTATGGAAAAGACCTCTACTGAAAGATACACAAGAAACTGTTGCATTGTTCATCTTAGCTCAGATGACTATAATTAATTGTCACAGATGGGGTGACTGAAACAACAAACATGTATTTTTCACAGTTCTGGAGCCTAGACAGCCAAGGTGAGGATACCAGCACAGGCTGGGCCTGGTGAGGACCTCTTCCAGGTTGCAGGTGGTCTTCTTATTAAGTCCCCGTGTGGTAGAAAGAAAGAAATTAGGGTCTCCTTTACGAGGACCTTAATTCCATTTGTAAAGGCTCCACCTTCATGAGTTAATCACCATCTAAAGGCCCCACCTCCTAATATCATTGTATGAGGGATTAGAATTACAACATGTGCTTTTGGGGGGAACAAAATATTCAGTCTATAACAGTCTCCTAGGAAGGAAACTGGATATAGGGTTGGGGAGCAGATGTGAAAGGAACATTTTCCTTTGCTGCTTATATTTTGGTGCAATTCCAATTGTGTGTATCATGTATGTATATTAGCCTTTCAAACTATGAGATTAGGTTAATTTATAAATACATTATGTTGGGGCAGGGAGTTTTAAATTACTTTGTCCATTTGCTTCATGGATATTATCAACCTTCCTACAGGACAGGAAGGGAGAAGAAATCAATATGCCTGTTTGTCTTGAGCAAATTGAAGACCTTGAAATCAAAATTGTTCAGGGACCCATCTTAGATCAGAGACTATTTCCATATTAAAACTGTGATGGTGGAGGAAAATGAGGGTTGCCATAAAATGTGGGGCTGAGTCTTGCTTTTGCTACTTACTATTTGGATGACTGGGCCAGTAACTTCATCTCTTAACATCTTGATTTTCTCATTTGCAAGGTGGAAAAAATACCTGTCTCTCAGGGTGGCTATGGGAATGAAATAAAAGTTAGATATCCTTATAACTGTCACTGTGTCCAAAATTCCATTTCCTACACAAAATACTGTTACTCAATAGTAAGTTACCCACTTCCACAGAGCAATCACAACCTCACAAAGTACCTCAAATTGTTAGACAGGCCTGTCATGAGCTGAATCCAAGTCTGCTTTCCTGTGTGCACCTCACATGGGCCCTAATTCTCCCCTTGGGCTACTCCCTCTTTCACTACAGGCCTAGTGCTCCTGAAAAGCTCCCCTTGTCCACCATTTGGCAAATATCCTGCTAATGTCAAATTACATGTTATCTGCAGCACTCCCCAATCAAGTTTTTAAGAAAAAAGGAGGCTCCTTTGGCATGAACTCCTGAATGGTCCTTGCCAGGTTCTAGAGACCATACTTCCTTTTCTAGGTGTGTTTTCTTTCCTTCAGTTACAAAATAGGGATCTCAACATCTGTCCCACTTTCTATCATCAGAATCAAATACAATTACAAATATAAGACAGTTTCACAAATGTAAATTATAGCCTAAGTGTAAGAGGACACCATCTGCTGAAGAGGCCCTTCCAGGTTTCGATGAAGCTCAATTTTCTCACTATATCTTGGGGTCAGGAGACAAATGGGCAATTTTTCCAGGCAACATGGTGGCAAGTAGGTGGGTGGGGCATCACACAATTGTGCATTTAATGATATATTGGACCTTTAATATCAAATCATTATTTTTCACTGTTCAAAAAGAATCACATCACAATGCCTTTCTAGAAACAGATTCAAAGCAGGGACAGTGATGTTATTGGCTATCTATCACAGTGCTAGAACCTACATATCCCTTCTCTGATCCCCACAATAATCCCGAGGAATAGGAAACACTCCATTTTGCAGATGAAGAAACATGCCCTGAGAGATAAGATAATAAAGTGTGCAATCTCCAGCTCAAACCAAACCCATCTGATTTTGAAGCCCTCATTAATCCCAGTTTACCAAGCTTTTTTGTTTTGTTTTGTTTTTTTGAGACAGGGTCTTGCTTTGTATTGCAGGATAGCTCTGAATCCACTATGTAGCCTAGGCTGGCCTTGAACACAGAGCAATCCTCCTGCCTCAGCCTCCCAAGTGCTGGGATTACAGGTATGTACCACCACACCTGGCTAAACATTTTCTTTTCCCATTACTGGGGATCAAACTCAGGACCTTGCACTTGCTCTGCAGGCATGGTGCCACGGAGCTACATCCCCACCCCCAGTTTACCTGTCTTATCCTTGACATGGCTGGTCCCTTCCCTTAGTGTTAGCTCCCTGGGAACACTGCAGAACTCCGTGGGCCCTTCTATAAATGCTTTCTCTTTTTCTTAACCCCTTTCAATTCTCATATTGTCCAAACTTGGCCCAAACAACCATAAAACTAAAATAACAGCTAACATCTGAGTTCAGTGGTGGTCAGGTTCGACTCCACCAAGCTTTCTCTGCTGCTGGGGTAATTCTACTGTTTCCCATGCCTTCAGAGGCTTCCTCTCTCCTCCTTCCTCCATCAGGCTGCGCAATGACTTCGCATCTCAGCCATCTCCTCACCTAGTATCACCTCTGCAATCTAGCTAAGTTCTCATCATGAGGTAGATTGAAGAATAAAGAAAGGTAAAAGGAAGACAAGGAAAATTGGAATTTTAAAATTTTACTTTAAAGAAAAACTACAACTTCAGGATGCAAGCCCTGTTTAAACTTTATTTTCTCTTTCTCTTCTCCTAAGACACAATAAGCATGGACAATTCCCTCAGGCCTACAAATTGGCCTTTTTCACTTATGAATGGACCACTGTTTTCCCTTGTCAATTGCACTTCTTCCCACCAACCTCCACCCTTTGCAGTCTCAGAGTTGTAAAGGTGAAAGATTTTGCTTTGAGAAGAAAGTGCCAGAGCATCATGTTACAGAAGGGTGGCAGCCTAGGGAAGTTATTCCAAAATGGTGGTGGCCTAGGGAAGTTGTTTCAAAATGGCGACTTAGGGAACTTATTTCTCAGGATTTGGTTCATGGACACTGGACCTCTATACCCAAGAGAGAAAGAAGCCTTACTACCGCTCCAGCTGGCAGCAGAACTTGTATCATCCATGTAGTGCTGGTTGTAGGTGCACGCAGAATGTAAGAGTTGTGGGATCAGGAAGGCTTCCACACAGATTTCAGAAGAAGGCCTGGCAGGCCAGGCAGTGTGCTCCTGAGAGGACAGTATGTGAAGCTGTGAGTGTGAAGCCAAAGGTGTGTTGGAGACCCCAGAAGTTTGGAGAAGCCGGGAACATGGATCATTTAAGGAAAACTGCAAGTAGGGAGCAAAGATGGCTCCAGAGAGAAGTAGTGGGAGCTACAACCACCAGAAGCACCATAGGGGTGTAGCCACCCAAATCCTTTGGAGTTCATGACTTGCCACGGATTGCTAAGGATGCTGGAAGAGGAACTTTGGGATTTAATGTTTGCCCTGATGGATTTTGGACTTGCTTTGTTCCCATTCCTTTGTATCTCCCTATTTTTTACCTTTTGGAATGGAAATGTCTATCTTGTGCCATTGAATGTTGGAAATCTTTAACTTTCTTTTCATTTGTACAGGGACTTGCCTTAAATCTCCGAGATTTTGTACTTGGACTTTTCCATAAAGTTGAAACTGTTAGGACTTTGGCAACTCTTAAGAGATGGACTAAATGCCTTTTGCATAAAGAAATGTATGTGAGTCTTTGGGGGCCTGTGGAAGAATGCCATAATTTGAGTCTGGATGTCCCCCAAAGCCTCATTTGGTCAGAGGTAGCTGAATCTGGAATGTGTGATGCTGGGATTAAGGGCTTGTGATTACTAAACCACTATACGTGAGTGAGTGTTTCAGCACTGCCTTAATCCCAATAGACAGGATGGGACAAAAGAGGCAGAAAGATTCGGTGAAGGCCCCTTTGTTGCCTTTGCTACCTTGTGAATGCCATGTCCATGTTGTTTCTCCACTGTGATGCTTGTCTGACATGCCATCTTGCCTTGGAGCCAACTGACTATGGACTGAAACCTCTATGAACTGTAAACTAAACAAACCCCTTCCCCTCCAATTTTGCATGTCAGGTATTTTGTCTTAGCAATGAGAGAAGAGCAGCTAAAACTCGTGGATAACCGGACAGACAGTATAGTGAGACAGGAGATTAGGGTATGGCAAACTGGCTGGGCAAGTGGACATGACTGTCAATCACAGAGATCAAGGACACATTCACCCAAAGTTGCATGTGGGATCGATCAAAGAATGTTATCTTTAGTTCTTCTGGCACAGGATCAAGAAGGTTTTGATAGGATGACCTAAATCTGACATCAGAATGGGGTATATAAAATATGGCAGCCATTAACCTTTTTGCCACTGTAAATTTTTTCAGTGGCCGTCTCTGAACTCTGTAGTGTGTACTTCTTTTACTTCTTTAAATTGGCCCACACTCACTCTGTAGAGCATATTTCTTTTCCTACCTACAATGCCTTTAATAAATGTAAAACCATATTACCTTTTGTACTTGTCTTAACCAATTCTTTGTTCAGGACAGCAAAAGCCTAGAAAGAATCTCTAGTAGAAGCCCATAGCACCCCTGAACCTCAGTAACAGAAGGAATGCACATCCTAGACCACCCATCTTGAAGAAAGCCTCAACACTCCTTAAAAATACCCAGCTACAAATCATAATGCATCTCTCCCCCTCTTGAGGGCTCACATTCTATTTCCTCAAGCATGCACTTTTCAATTACTGCCTAGTGATCTCTTTATGCCTCTTAATGTATACTTCCTGAAAATTATTCTTTTACAGTGAAAGTCAGCCAGCCTTCAACCTAATTCTACAGGTAGGATGGTGGTGTTAGGTTCTCTAGCTCCGCTTTGGGAACCTCTTTGGACCCAGTATAATGACAATCACTTATCCAAAACAGTGCCCCCTAGGACTCCTAGTGACATCTGTATTAAATATATAGTGCTCTATTCTCTAACCCTATTTGTTCCAGAGTCTTTGAAGCTTTTCCTAACTTTTCTCAGCCATCTATGACTAAGTTACCTTGATTTCCCCTCCATTCTCCTGACTGCATTTTCTCCAAACCCCTTTCTTTCTCCTTCTCCCTAACCAAGGAGTGTCACATCCAGCCTCTCTGCTCTCTCCATTTTCCTATCTTGAGATTAGTCACAGGTACAATCAATTAAACCACCACCATTATGCAGAAGACTTTTAACTAAGTCCCTCTCACTATCCCTGACTTTTCTTTTACTATGTAGACCCAAATAGTCAACTTTTTGTGAAAAAGACCTCAAATCCATTTCCTCTCCCAATGTGGCACCAAGTCAAGGTAATTTACTCCCTGTGGCTGAATAAAAAGATAAAATGATTCCATCTTAATGGTGGTTTTTGAGATTTGAACTTGTGATGGTTTGAGTGTTTTTTTCAAAACAGAAATATCTCAGTGGTTATGTATGATGATAAAATAATACATGGTCTCACATTGGGGCTTATTATCTATGCAGTCTAGGGCTAGTTTTGGCAGCTCTGTCCTTTCATATTACCCATAGTATCTTTCTGTGTAGACTGAAATGGCTCCACAGTGCCACACAACATTTGAGAAGTAGAGTGGGAGAAGTTGATAAACACATCCACTGCAAGGAAGCCTGGGAGATATAATTTTTAGTCTACGAGGTCATATGCCTGCTTAACTCAGAATATTAGTTTTCTTACCATGAAGCAGAGGTAGGCATCAGAAGACAAGCAGAAATCTTCCAGGAACTCAGGGAGCACCAAGTGGCCTCTCTCCTTTCTTTAGCCATCTTTATTTCTGTAGCAAAGATATTGTTAAGGGGCAATTTAGCTATTTATCTTATGAATAAGCAGCCAGAAAAAGACAGAGTCCTAGGTGGATTCAAGGTGGTCAACCTTTCCTTTCTTTCTTCTTTTTTTTTTTCCTTTGGTTTATGCAACTTCATTGAAGAAAAATAAATCAGTTACTCACAGAGCTATTAGTTGATCACTCATCCATTGACAACTTGCATCATTTACTTAGTGCTATATTAAACAGTGTATTGGAAGACAGATTAACTAATAGCTCCAAGCCTCTTGACAATTTTTTTTTTTTTTTTTTTTTTTTGTAACAGGGATTGAACTCAGGTCCTTGCACTTGTGAGGCAGGCAGTGGAAACAGCTAAATCCCCCCCCCAACAATTTAACTGAAAATTACAAAATGTCTTAAGACCCTATTTTGAAATACAAAGGGTATTTGAGTTTCAATTTCCATTCTCTGTAGTACAAGAACAGATCGTTCCTTTATTGCCATGCATAAAATACATCACATTTTCTGTTCTGCTGATGCTATGAATTCAATACCAATTCTCCAGACACATCAGTTATGAGCATAAAGTATATCACGTAACCTCACATCTCGAACAGTGGAAGGCTTAACAAGAACGGATGCTGCTAGAATAATGCTGCTTCCTTGCCATGACACCAAGCATCCACCTCCCAGCCACCCTCAGCTGGCTTCTTCAGCAGTTAGCTGTGATGAAGGCTTTAAGTCTCATAACCAAGTTAAGAGTGACGACATTGGCCACATAATACACATGCTCCATTTTTTAAAAAATTCTGAATCTTGGGCAACTGTTCTAACTACAGTTTCTAAAAGCAGTTATTGTCCAAAGCTGGAAGAACTTCAGTCTTCTCAGATGAGCATGTGAATGAATGGAGGGATGCAAACAAAAAAATAAAATTAGAAAAGATGAGGTCTGATAGGGGAGCAGCCGGATAAGAAAATAAAAAAACCCAATAACTTAAAGTTTATTCCAGCTATGATGCAGGCTATTCTGATTATAAGGTAGCATCACTGGCATTCTTCTGAGTCCACTCTCAAGATATCCTGTTGTACTTGTCTCTGTCTGCTGTATAGATCCATGCAATCTCTGGCACTAGGGGGTCATCTGGGTTTGGATCACATAGCAGTGAACAAATGGATAAAAGAACTTTAGAAACAGTTAAAGCAGGGGACCACTGTGATCTTAGAATATCGAGAGAAATGCTGCCATCACTATTTATATTTGGACGATAAATTCTTGTTGTAAATGAAACTTTAGGTGATCTGAAGGGGTAGTCTGTAGGAAAATGAACTGTCAAAAAGAATAGGCCACCTTGATATGGGCTGTCACTGGGTCCCATAATTGCGGCTTGCCAATGGAACACGTCATCCCCAACTAGGCCCGCAGAACACTGCTGGAGGGTCACGGGCCAAATCACTAAATTCCTTACTAATCCGCTTCTGCGCCATGGTCCGTGCTGTCCCGGCCTCGGTGTCCGCGTGTGCTCGGTCCCGCCGCTTCTGGGTGGTCCACGGCTCCCAGCGGCTCAGACACTGCCCTTCCACTACGCC